TAGCTCTCTAATCAACAATTAGATTTCAAAATTTTTGGTTTTAGAAAAATTAAAATTTATTTTAAGATCAATGCGTACATTGAGAAGTTGAAGAATATACATAGTTTTATAAATGTTCCAACAATTCTAATCATATCAATAACTAAAACTAACTAACTCGAGCATGAGCCAATAAAAGTAAAATTTAATGCTAAAAATGTTGATGAATTTTAAATATTTTATTCATGTAGCCATATATAGTTACCATCTGGATGTTTATAATATTGGCTACTTTTATATACGTCAGTTAATAGAGTATCTATCCATATTTAAAATCCTGAAAAAGTTGCACTTACGTATTCATATATTTATATAGATATCTATACATCACTGGTTTTTTTGAGATAAGCCTAACTATTTATATATAAAGTATAATATATTAACGACTTAACTATTTTAACTATATTATTAAAAGTGTGAATTTATCAAGAGAAATCCTCTAGCAAAGCTTTTTAATATATAGTCGAAAAATATATTAGTCGTATAGTTAGTTAAGAATGTTAGTTAGATACTTATAGACTTGATTTATAATTTGTTACCTAGCTATATTATATTATTATAAACTTATATTATATTATTATAAACTTATTAATTAGAGCTATACTCATGATGAAAATATATTTGTATAAAATATATATGCATATTTGGAGTTTCATTGATACCGGCCAGAAACGATCCTCGTAAACGTTTTATATTAAAAGAACAATAGGAAAAATGAGAAAATAAAAAAGTTAAATAAGAATATAATCCTAAAAAAAAAATGTTCAGAAATGAAATACAACAAAAATGTAAAAACAAATATATGTATATGTTTTATGTCCTAAGTCTGTGGTCCATATAATTTCTATTAGAAGTTATTGTAAAAATTAAAACGTTTTCCATTTTTTTTTTATATTTTTATTGTTCTTTGTTATATTTTTGTACTTTCATATAAAGCATAATTTTAATACAAAGGAATTTCTATAATCGTTTTAAATACATATTTCAGTCTACAGAAAAGCAATGGGAATTATAATACTTGCCATAAAAGTACATATAGACACATATACATATGTATATACATACGAGTTCTTATAAATGTGTTTGTATGTATAACTGCAAATACATAAAAAAACGTCTATGTATCAACATATACTCAGCTACATACAAACATACATATGTATGTATAATGTGGGAAAAGAGCAGAGCAAAAAAAAAAAACAAAAATGAAAAGAAATGTTCTCAAAAAAACACGGCAATGAGAAGAGAACGATTTCCGATTGGTGGCGCCAACTGAAATTGAATAAGATACACAAACACATATAACAGAAAGAATCGCCAGCGGCAACCACTGGGAGCAAATAATAGAATAAAAGAGAAGAAAACCCACAGCATTAACGCCGAGCACACACACACACACTCATTCGTATATACTCAAAATACATTCGTATATGTACATGGTATGTGTGTGTATATATGTATGCAGCTACATTCATATGAAATACATACATACATATGTATATGTAAATATCAGAAGATGCCAAAAAGGTGCGACAACGACAAGTATTTGGTATTTTATTATAAGTATAAGCGCCCCAGGCCAGCCCCAAAAGTCGAGCATTCGTACTACAGCAGGGCTCCCAACTCCTGCTATGTAACCCAACGCAAGCACACACACGCACACAGTGCATGTTTTAAAATGTCAACGAGTGCGAGCAGGATGGAAGGACGACTGTTGCCAAACCGTTCAGAATCGAAGCAAAAAATTGCAAGAAATATAAATGCGATGCCGAAGACGAAATGGAAAATTGTGAAACGAATGAGAAACGAAAAGGGAAACGGTTGACAAACCCACAAATAGCATAAAAAAAAAACAGAATATATGAGATGGACTTCATCCCGAGCAGTAGCAGCAGCAGCAGAAGCAGCAGCAGCTGTCTCGCTTACACACCCAAAAGCCGAGTTTGATAAGAATAGGGTAATGGCAATTCGAGTGTGTAGAGTAGGTTCAGCCAGCGGAGGGGTTCGAAAAACTTTGTCATTTACTTTTTTAATTGAAATTAAAATGCTTTTCCAATAAGAAAATGAGCTGTGTAGCTAACAAAAATAAAGTAAAACGAATCGTTCGCTAAGCAGCTGCGCACAAGCTGCCACCAAGTCGGAGTCGAGATCGAAGTTTAACGTCGGGAGTACACGAAGTTTTTTGCAAATGCAATGCATTTATTTTAATTTACTCTGACATAAAGAAAAGCAAAAAGTAAAATAAAAAACGAGCCAACGAACAGAAATGCAAAACAATTGTCATTTGTTTATATAAGCGACGTCGGCCATTGGAGTGAGTGAGCGCGCGCTACTGGGCAGCGCTCACTCTCAACCATACACACACAATGCAAATATGTAAATGTGTCGCTCACGCTCCCTCATGTTTATTGGTTGCAAGCCACCTGCTCTGTGTGCACGTTGTATGTGCGCGTTGTGTAAGCGAGTGCGGTGCTTGCAATCCATTGAGAAGAAGCGAGAGGGAGATTGAGCGAGAGAGAGAATGTGCCCTGTTGCCTGAAACGAAATGAAATTGAAACGCAAATGAAATGAAATCGTCGCAATCAAAAAACGCCAAGCCAACAAACGAAATGAAAAAATAAATAAAACGAATGTTACCGTATTGTATAGGGCGGCGACAGCAGCGTCAGCGTCAGTGCTGCTTTTTAGGAAAGTTTGAGTGAGAGAGCGCTGTCAATGTATATATGTATATACCTACATGCATCTGTGTGCGTGCTGCTTTTGCTGCTGCTGCTGCTGCTTCTGCTGCTAATTTTCTTCCGTCTCAGCCATCGTTCTCGTTCTGTCGTTTCTGCTTCTGTGTTTCATTTCATTTGTGTTTGTTTTTGTTTGTATTTTATTACGTTTGTCATTGTGTTTTCGGGGATGCTAACACAAGCGCACAAAGCCAGACAGCGTCAGAGACATACACACAGACAGAAGTAACTATTATATACCACTCCCACTTTCTGTTTGTATTGGTGTACAATTCAAACAGCAACGCATTCGTATACATATCGTTTCGGGTTTTGCACAATCGCAGATACACACACGCACACACTCACAGGCACACGCACACATACATCTGATTGTGTACATGTATATGTAATGTAGATGGGGCTGCAGCTACTACTGCTGGCGCTGCGGACGCCGAGGCTTGGTTTGAACACTGGAAACTGGCAACGAAACGAAACACATTTGGCTCGCCTTTCATTACGAATTTGTCATTCGTAAGCAAAGGTAATGCAATAAAAGTTTTGCGCGCGCATTTCCATTTTCGACTCTCGCGACATCGTGAACGAAAATGTATCTCGGTACATAACGGAACGACGCGCCTCGTGGTGTGGGTGTATAAAATATAAAGAAGAAAAAAAAAAAAAAACATTTGATTCGTGTGTGTATGGCCTCTCGCTCTCTCACTCTCTTTCTCTGTCTAGCGCGCGTTACAGCGGCTTTACCAATTAATGTGTCTTTGTGTGTGGGAGGTTTGTGCGAGTAGTGAGTGACGATTCCTATTCGAATGCAATTCGTTTCGTTGATTTCTTGCAGTCTCAGTTATCGTCGTAGTCCTCTCGTGTGCTGTGCTCGTCGTGGCCTCAGCGCCAGCAAAAGGCCCCCAAAAAGCTCAGTGACGCGCCGTCGGTACGCTAACGAATAACGGTTTACGTTCTCTCTCACTGTCGCCCAATTGGCGTTTTGCTGAGTTGGTGTTTGTTTTCCAATTCTGATTTGTGCAAAGATTATACAAGAATTTTGATTGAAAAATTGATAATAATTAAAAGAAACATATCGAGTAAATAATGCAAGTTGAAACAAACTAACACAGAAATTAATGCAAAGCATATTTAAAGTGCGCGTTCGCCTTATAGGAATATTAATTAAAATTAATTAATGTTTAATACAAATTACTCATGAGGTAAATTTCCGAGGAGTCCAGACTTACTTGATAAAAAAGAAATTAAATCTGAAAGAATATAAATTGAATAAAATTTTGTATATGAAAAATATTTCAAAAATAAAGAATTTAATGTTATGTTAGAGCGGAAATTGAAAAGTATATACTGTTAGCTGAATTGTTTCAGTATATGTTTATATGGATATCATTTTTATTATTTAAACATTATATGAAAATTAATATTCATATGGATTAGTTTCAGGAAATCTTTGATATATATGAATTTGATAGTTTATATATAAATATAACCGTAGAGTTCTAATCTCCAATAAAATATGCTTTTCAAATAGATTGCGATGTAGGTTTGCATAAAAATGATTTATTTCTTCAAGAATAGTAAACTGTCAGAGTTGATTAGTAATTTATTTGACAAATAATCATTAAACCAAAAAATGTTGATGGTTCCTTAGAATTCAAAGTCAAAGCTCACAGAGAAGAATAAATATATATAGTTATATATACAACGCATACAAATTATAATAGCTAAAACGCTTTTAGTTTTTCCATGAAGTCAAAACTCCAAAAATAATTAAAAACGTATTAAACGTTCATTAATTATGTACAACGTGTCCATTTTTTAGTGAACTTTTAACATAGGTTAACAACATATACATATACATATGTATATAAACGGCAAGAGATAAACGTTTTTTGTTAACCAATGATGAAGCATGGATTCTATCAATGTCAGTAGCCAATCCGTGACAAGTGAATTCAGTGAACAACAGCGAAAGCAACAACAACAAGCCGATGAACGGTCAATGAACAACAACAATAATACAACAACAATCAACAACAACTACAATCAGAATCACAATCACAATCACAGCCACAGTTATATCAATTGCAACAGCATCAGTGCACACAAGATTTTGGTTGGCAGCAACATGAATACAACAGCAATGCTAATGCATCATCAGCAGCAACAGCAAGCGGCAGCTGCTGCCGCCGCCGCCGCAGCAGCAGCCCAGCAGCAGCAACAGCAACAGCAGCAGCAGCAACAACAGCAGCAGCAGCAACAGCAGCAACATCAACAGCAACAGCAACAGAATGGCTGCCGAGACGGCAGCAACAGTTCACGTGGCGCTGGCGATGAGCGTCCAAATGGACGCAATTCGCACACGGGCAATGGTCGTGGCTCCAGCTGCTCGCCGGCCAGCAGTCCGACGCGTCATGGCAGCGCGGTGAGTCCGGTGAGCTCCTTGAATCACTCGATGATGGCACAAATGGCACAACAGCAGCAACAGCAGCAGCAACAGCAACAACAGCAACATCACCAGCTCAGTCCGCCGCCGCATGTTGCCGGCGCATTGAGCACGGGCTTGGCACCTCGCATGCCGCACGGCTTGCCGCCGCATTCACTGGGCCTGCTCAATTCACTGCAGATGATGCACCATGCGTCGCCGCTGGAGCTGATGGCCGCTGCTCATCACCATGTGCCACCGCGTTCATATAACTCACCGCCGCCCATTTCCACCTCAGATCCGAGTGCCAACGAGTGCAAGCTGGTGGAGTATCGGGGCCAGAAGGTCGCTGCGTTCATAATTAGCAACGAGACAATGTTATGCCTGCCGCAGGCCTTTGAGCTATTCCTCAAGCATCTAGTGGGTGGCCTCCACACGGTCTATACGAAACTGAAGCGCTTGGACATTGTGCCGCTCGTTTGCAATGTGGAGCAGGTGCGAATATTGCGTGGCCTGGGCGCCATACAGCCGGGCGTCAATCGCTGCAAGCTGCTCAGCTGTAAGGACTTTGATGTGCTCTATAGAGACTGCACCACGGCCAGGTATGAATATGAGAATTGTTGTTCAAATTGTTCAATTTTTACTTATTTCCTGTTCACGTACGGCGGCCCGTTGCGTGAGACCCGACCAAAGCCCATTTACATTTACCTCTCCCTTCCGCCATAGGCATAGGCATAGGCATAGGTTGAAGCGAAACGCATTGGCTATGCAAATAGTTTGGAAAAATATATTAAGTCTATCGCATATCGATTGTTTTGTGGGCGGGGAGAGCACGGGTAGGCAACTAATCAAGAAACTTTTGCCTCTGATGACATTTGGCGGAAATACGCAATGCAAACCGTCGTACTGCATATGCCCAGCCCACTCTGTAGCCAAACTCAAACTAGAGTTTCAATTGTTAACTAACTGCTTCTCTCTCTCTCTATGTATATATGTATATACATATGTATATATGTTACATATAATCGTTGCGTAAATTTGTTAACGATTCTAACAATAGTTTGCAAATAGTTTTTACCTTTTGTTGTTGCCCAACACACAAATCGCATATTCGACGCGTGCGGTGCCCTGTCAAAGCATTTCCGTTTCGATTATAAATAACAGCAACAACAGCAGCAACAACAACACTGCCTTAACCCAGTTACTATATAGTGGGGCCCTTAAATATTTATATAAATACATGCATATGTGCAATTCGTATTCAGTATCTAAATCTGTAATAATCATTACATCATGGCAAAAATTCTAAAAATTTATAAATATTTTGAGATTCTTGTAGCCTAAAAATGTAAATTGTCAATTGAGGAAATTTAATAAAATTTGTTTTTTTTTTTTTTTTCAATGTGCTGAAAAGTTGTAAAAATCAAGCCTATTTTTAGACAAACAGTTTCTGATGTGATTTAACCAAAATAAAGCAAACCAAATATTTAGAAAAGTTAAAGGAAATTGTT